GAAAGAAGGAAAGAAAGAAAGAAAGAGAAAGAGAAAGAAAGAGAGAGAGAAAGAAAGAGAGAAAGAAGAAAAGCAGCCATAGCAACTTGGAGTCCCAAAAGCCCATATACTGAGAGAATTTTTTGAGTAACAGAATAATGATAATCCCATACAATCAAGTGGATATTGTGGTGGGGGGAGTTGTTTTTTGGGGTGGGGTTGTTGTTTTTTGCTGAGTGCCATTTATTGAAGGAGGGAGGAGGTCTTAAATACAGGCTTACAGCACAATGGGAGAACCCCAGAGGGCAGAAGTTCGCTACCAATGTTTTACAATCTTGCATCTAAGCTGTTAACACCCATTATGCAGGATACACAGACAAGGAGCTTCCCTTAAGCATTTTTTAATCAACATTGATTATGCGTAAGTAAATGAGATATAAGATATGTGCTGCTTAGTTTCTGTCAACTTGATACAAACCTTGACATACCTGGGAAGAGAGGTCTCAACTGAGGGATTGACTCCATCAGATTGGCCTGTGGACATGTCTATGGAGTGTTTTTCTTGATTGCAAATTGATGTAGGTGGGTTTACCATCCTTGGGTAGGTGGGAGTGGGATTTATAAGAAAGGTAGCTGAGCAAGCTAGAGAAAGCAAGACAATAACAGTCAGTGTTCCTCTGTGGTCTCTGCTTCAGTTCCTTCCTCCAGGCTCTTGCCTCGAGTTCTTGCCTTGCCTCACCCCCATGATGGGCAATAGCATGTAAGCCAAATAAACTCTTTCTTGCACAAGATGTTTGTGGTCATGGTATTTATTACAGCAACAGAGAAGCAAACTAGAACAGGGTGGAAGGGACGTACTTCTTTGTCAAATAATTCCAATGACCAACTGTGAAAGGAATAATAGGAAATTGCCATTGGGCAGACACTGCAGTACAAATTGTTGTAGATAATAATTGTTGGTGGATGCTAAACGGCCTGGGTGGAAGGATGGTGGAACACAGAAGCAGCATATTTTCAGTCTCAAAAATGACTCCCAGAACACTAAACAATTTAGAAAACTAGCAGAAACCAACAAAATAATCAACTTACACATTCCTGATTGGATGCATGGGAAAGGACATGACTTTTGAAATGTATGCTTTCCATAAATGATCAAACCCACACCAAGAAACACACTACAAAATACTTAACTAGCACTCTTCAAAATCTCAAGGCCATCAAAGGCAAAAAATGTCACCAGTTGAGTGTAAGTAAAGAGACCTGACAACTAAATTTGGCTGACCTGAATTAGACTGTGGACTATAGAAAGGACATTAGTGAGAAAACTGTGGGAATCCCCATAAAGCTTGTAGGCTGTTAATAGTATCACAATCTATTATATTTCTATTATATCATATACTATAATGTTACCATATTACTAGTATATAATATGGTAGCAATATATATGATATTAATATTAATACAATTAACATGCTTATTGATATAAAGTATACTTTAGTATATCTTATCAATATATCAATAAGCATGTTATTAATATTTATGATAATACATGTAGTACATTATAGTGCATTGTACTATATAAAATATAGTATGCCATATTATACATATTATATAGTACAATACCCTATAATGTACTATCATCTATGGTCATATATAATTATGGCATATAATAGTGTCATCTAGTACTTTCTACTTGCCAGGTGCTATGCTAATTTTACATACTCAACATATTAATTCCTTATTTGGATAATAGTAATGAGAACACTGCTACTTTTAAAACTTCTGTAAAGCTAAAATGTGTTCCCACTATGAAAATATATATTAAGAAATAAAGCTGTCCATGCAGATCTCATCCACCTCTCTGTGTCTTTCTTGGGGTCCCGTTTTCCAGGTAGCCTCACTGGTGATGTGAGTAGCAGTCCAGTCATCCTTGTTCCACATGTCTACTTAATAACTCTAATTTTGCTACTGTTATAAATTGTAATGTAAATATTTTTGGAGATATAGGTTTGATCATGGGGTTATGGCTCACAGGTTGAGAACCACTGCACTAGACACACAAGCTAACCCAGCATAGTGGGAAGGGCCGACCCCAGGGTGAAACCCAAGGATCTCCTCTTATGGAAATCTATAAATCTGATCCAGCCTGGACATGAGTGGGAGCGGTGAGGGGCGAGGGTTGAGAGAGTGGGAGATCCTAGCTAGATCGGGAAAAGAGAGGGAGAACAAGGAATGGGAGACCATGGTAAATGAAGACCACATGAGAAAAGGAGGAGACAAAAAGCTGGAGAGGCCCACAGAAATCCACGAAGATGCCCCCACGAAGGACTGCTGGCAGTGGTCGGGAGACAGCCGGGACTGGCCTACTCTGGTGATGGGATGGCCAAACACCCTGATAGTTGTGCCATAAGCCTCATCCAAGGACTGAGGAATCTGGATGCAGACATCCACGGCTGGGCCCCTGGTGGAGCGCTGGGAGTCTAATTGGTGAGAAAGAGGAGGGTTTATATGAGCGAGAATTGTTGAAACCAAGGTTGGATAAAGCGCGAGGACAGATGACCAAATGAATGGAAACACATGAACTATGAACCAAAGGCTGAGGGGCCCCCAACTGGATCAGGCCCTCTGAATGGGTGAGGCAGTCGATTGGCTTGATCTGTTTGTGAGGCATCTGGGCGGTGGTGCCGGGTCCTGGGCTCGTTGCATGAGTTGGCTGTTTGAAGCCTGGGACTTATGCAGGGACGCTTGGCTCAATCTGGGAGGAGGGGACTGGACCTGCCTGGACTGGGTCTATTGGATCGATTCCAGTCCTCGGCAGAGACCTTGATCTGGAGGAGGTGGGAATGGGGGGTGAGCTGGGGGGAAGGGGAGGGAGGCGGGAGGGGAGAGAACGAGGGAATCTGTGGCTATTATGTGGAACTAAATAGTATTGTAAAATAAAAAAAAAAATAAAATGTAAAAAAAAAAAAAGAAAGAAAGAAAGAAAGCTGCCAAGCGGTGGTGGCACACGCCTTTAATCCCAGCACTCGGGAGGCAGAGCCAGGCGGATCTTTGTGAGTTCGAGGCCAGCCTGGTCTACAGAGCGAGATCCAGGAAAGGAGCAAAGCTACAAAGAGAAACCCTGTCTTGAAAAACCAAATAAATAAATAAAGCTATAAATATGTGTGATGGAAGGGCTCATCTTGCAAAAAACTTGTGCATTTTGTTGACCCCAAGTTTAAGTCAACAAAGCTTTGAACTCTATCACAGCAGACTGCTCATCAAACCTTCTGCTATAAATTCTCCTGCTTCCTGGCCTTACCCCATTGCTGCACCTGACTTCTCTACAAACAGAACATCTTAATCAAATTGTCTTTGCATTCAGGGGCTGTCAAAATGGCTCATCAGGTAAAGGCATTTGCTCTTAATGTAATCAAGTTTGAGCCCTGGAGCACATATGGTAGAAAGAGAGCACTGATTCTCAAAAGCTTTCCTCTGTCAACCACAAGGGCACCATGGAGCCCACACATACACAGAATAAATAAAGGTAATTCTACAAAACAACAACAACAAAAAAAACATTTAATTGCATTCAAGAGGTTGAGAATGTAGCTCAGTTGGTAAAGTGTTTGCCTGGCATGCACAAGCCTTTATTCAAACTCTACCACAAACATAAACCAAGTGTGCTGGCACATGCCATTTGCAAAGCAGATGATTAGATGTTCAGTTTTATCCTGGCTATGCAGTAAGTTCAAAGTCAACCTGAGCTACATGATATCCTGTCTCAAAAAAAAAAAAAAAAAAAAAAAAAAGCATGCAGTAAAAACTTCTTAGCCTGGACCATGAATCTCCTCTCCTGGTATCCATAATGGCTTCTGTGGCTCTTCCTTATCCTGACTACTACATCAGCCCAGTACAAAGCTCATTTTTAGCATTATCATGATCTTCTAGAATGGAGAAAGTTATTCACCAGAATTATTTCTAGAAAAATAGCACATATATGAATATTTTTATAAGAAGTTCTTTCAAAAGCCAGTTGGGGGAGAATGTGACAGACAAAATGATTAAAGATGATCCCTAAAACATTAGGCTTCTCAAAAGACTTGAGGGAGGGAGTGACTTGGAGAATTGTGGAACCAGTTTCCTCTACAGAGGAGAAATAAGAAGAGAAAGTTGGGCTAGAGAGATGGCTCAGAGTTTAAGAGCAATGACTGCTCTTTTAGAAGTCCTGAGTTCAATTCCCAGCAACGACATGGTGGCTCACAACCATCTGTAATGAGATCTGGTATCCTCTTCTGGCTTGCAGTCATACATGCAGACAGAACACTGTTTACATAATAAATAAACAACATAATATATAAATGTTTAGTAATAATAATAATAAATCTTTTTTAAAAGAAGAGGAGAAAGTCCTTGGGAACAGCACTGCCAAGAGAAGTACTAGAAGGAACAAGAATATCAAACATGTTTTAAAGAAGGGTCTGTGCAACTGTGTGCAGCTGTGTGCAACTGTGTGCAACTGTGTATTATGAGTCTATGACCAGATATATTCAGCAATGCTTTTAGGACAATTAGGGGTTCTTGGGAGTGAACGTTAGGGTTTTTGTTGTAAGATTAAAAAAAATAGAAAGAATTAAGAACTAGACAGGAGGGCTGGAGAGATGGCTCAGAGGTTAAGAGCACTGGCTGCTCTTCCAGAGGTCCTGAGTTCAATTCCCATCAACCACATGGTGGCTCACAACCATCTGTAATGAGATCTGGCGCCCTCTTCTGGCCTGAAGGGATATATGCAAGCAGAAGCAGAACACTGTATACATAATAAATAAATAAATCTTAAAAAAAAAAAAAGAGAACTAGACAGGAATCATACTGTGATAAGAGGTAGTTTACTGACTGTCTCCTTGCCAGGTACCATGCTAAATACTTGATGCATTCTTCAAAGCAAATTATGAGATGGATATTCAATGCTTATCATCCCAACATGTAAGAAGCAGAGACAGGATGGCCACAAATTCAGTGCCAGCCTAAGCTACATAGTAGGACCTGCCAGTCTCAGTGGAGAAGGTCTATCAAGTAGGTATGGTATGATTACAGTGATGTTTTAGTAAAGGAAACAGGTTTGGAGAGTACAAATGTAATGCCCAAGCATTTGCACACTGGGCATTTGGTGGAGACCAGTGGAAATCATATGTTCAGATTTGGAATAGTGAGTTGGATGTGGTCATTTTCTTGGATGAGTCTGCAGTTCAGAAGGGAGGTCTTACCTCGAGATATAAATTGGAAAGGCATAAGCAGGTTGTTGATCCATAAGGCCCTGGTACTGAATGACTCATCTAGAATATGGGTGTAAATAAGGAAGAGGAAAAGCCACAGACTAGCCAAAGCAGTCCAAATTTTAGAGTTAAGGAGCTTCACCAAAGACGACAGTCAGATTGGAGAGAACCAGGGAGGTCAAATGCAAGTAAAGAGTCTACCTCTGCCTAAATTGAGTACTAGAGACTCATTAAATTTAGCACTATCAAAAAATCTGATTGGCAAAAGATTTTGAGACAACAAACAGTTATCTCATAAAGAGTCTTTCTAAAAAAAACAAAAAAAAAACCAGAGTAGCCATTGAAAAACCATTTGTTTTTATTTTTACCAAACAGAAGTCATAGCAAGTCTGAGCTAATAGGACTGATCCAACAGAGAGGGTGTTATATGATGGTGTGGTGTTTTGAACAGATATGGCCCCCATAGACTCATGTGTTTGAATGCTTGGCCCATAGGGAGTGGCACTATTAGGAGGTGTGGCCTTATTGGAGTGGGTGTGACATTGTTGGAAGAAGTGTGTCACAGTGGGGGCTGGCTGTCAGGTCTTATATGCTCAAGCTATCCCCAATGTGGCACACAGTCTCCTTCTGCTGCCTACAGATCAAGATGTAGAACTCTCAGCTCCTTCTCCAGCACCATGTCTGCCTGCATGCCACCATGTCCCACCTTGTGGACAATGGACTAAACCTTAAAAACTATAAACCAGCCCAATTAAATGTTTTCCTTTATAAGAGTTGCCATGGTCATGTTGTCCTTTTTTACAGCAATAGAACCCCTAACTAAAACAGATGACAAGAATGAGGCTGAAGTGATGTCCAACAGAGAAAATAAGGAGCAAGATCTAATGTATACACAGTGCAGAGGTTGTCCTTCTAACAACTGAGTCACAGTGGTCTCAGAAGTGGAAATATGCCATTGTAGATGGTAAGTAGATAGATGTTGAGAGACTATATGGAAGCTCTTAGTGAATTCGGAGGCAAGCTTGGAATCAATAAAATTGTGTCAAAACAGTTCTGTAGCAAGGGTTCATAACACTAAACCTTCTGTATATACATTATTCTGTTGCTCAGATAGCAGCCATCCACCTTCTATTTCATAACAGTTTAAGGGAACGTGGACTAAGGGTACAGATCTCACAGGAGCTGGTTTAGATTCTCTCTGTTGGGATAATAGACCATAACTCAGCCTGCAGCCTTGAAAATGCTATCTGTGGTCATGAGGCCAATGAATCCCAGAAAACACGCCAACCCTGTGGAAAGAAAATCTGGCCATGCTCCATCCCAACACTGTGGCCCCAGTAACATCTAGCAGAAATAACCATGGAGAGTTGCCAATGATAAAAAGCCTGTTTCATTTTCACATTATGTTACAAAGCATGGTTTCCAGACCAGCAACTTTCCACCCTCTCAAAAAGTTCCCTTTCCTCACACAGTGAGGTCGGTGTAAGTTGGAGAGGCTGTCCTACATCAGGACACACACAAAAGAATGGTAGGTGACAGTGAAGGAGTCAGGACACTCGCCTAGCCACTAGGTGGTGGAAAACCAGTTCTAGCAGCTAGCCATCACACAGCCACACAGCCACACAGTGTGATAAGGATATGGGAAAAAGAGAGGCACCTGACCACAACCAGGAAGTGGAAGGAAGCACAGTGCTGGGAGAGAAGGCCCACGGGTCCAAGGACCAGCCTGGGCTCAGCATGGTAATACCCACTTCAGTTGGCTGTCATAAGGATGAAAGGAAAGATTATATATCAAGTCTCTTAGAGTGTGTAAGGCCCAGTGCCAAAAATAAGGTAAAATAATAGTTAAAGGATCCTTAGCACATAAGCAACAACCCATAATATGACACTCTCCTCTATGCTGTTACTAAAAACAAGGTGTTCTATTTCACCAAGTTTCATGTTACATACAAATAATAAATAAAAATAATAAAAATCAAGCTTACCAGTGTTTCAGCATTGGATCATTTACCTACTAATGTCCAAAGTACCTAGAGCTTCCTGCTGCTAGAGCAGAAAGGGAGAAATCATTTACAGCCTATTACACAGGACTTCATGAGACACCACTATAACAAAAGACAGATTAACCAAAGAAACAATACAGCAGATGTATCTGATCATAGTTTTACATGACGCAGTAACATTCAGGTTGAAGACTCAAGGACCCAGAGTGAACTATCCATTTTGGTGCTTAGGTTCAACCAAGAATGGACAGCCACATAGAAACATATTGAACAAAAAGGATATGATCTAATACTAACCTACCGAGGGAAAGGCCTTTCTGTCTCGAGACTCTTCCTTGGCTGCTCTGCAGCTTTCCTTCCTTCCAGATCTGCAACAGAACCTTTCAGAATGGGAATCTTGTGACTCACAATGAAATGAGGCGAGTCACAGAATTCATGGAGAACTTGTAAAAAAAAAAAAAAGCAGGGGAAAGTCAGTGAGGTTTAATAGCTGGATCTGGGGAAAGGAGATCCCGGTTTCTACACTTTGGAGGAAATGGACTCTATCATCTATATTCTGAGGTATAAGTGAAGGATGAGCTATAGCACATACATTTGTCAGACACAGACTACTAGTGAGGCCTTCGCTTTAGAGTGTCATCTTTCTGAGCCCCATACTGTGTGGAAGGCCAACAAATGAGTTAGAGAGGATAAGAAACTGTAAGCAGCCAGGACACTGGGAATACCTCAGTATAGGCCTCGGCTGGGTGACTGGAGACAGACTTTGGTCCCTGGATGGACTAGACTATCAATATAGACCAACTCTTAGATGATGCATACACCCTTAAGAGTCTACTATGGAGCAGGTAGAAAAGACCACCTTGGAAGTCAACACCCCTTTCGTCAGTACCTGTCTTTTGCATTGAGCTTGGCCTCTCTGAAATTCTAAACAGACTCAAAAACTTATCACAGAACAAATCACAGACAGAAACAAATATGTAGAATTTATCCATTAAGATGGTAGCAAATGGGGCTAGAGAGATTGCTCAGCAGTTAAGAGCACTGGCAGCTCTTCCAGAGAATCCAGGTTCAATTCCCAACACCCACATGGCAGTTTACAACTGTCTGTAAACTCCAGCTCCAGGGGATTCAACACCCTCATATATGCATACATGCAGGCAAAACACCAATGCACATAAAGTAAAAATAAATAATAAATCATTTTTTAAAATGATGGCACATGTCTGTAATTCTGTAAAGTTCTATCATCAAAGTTATTTAAAAATAGAAGTGTGTGTTGCAATAGTTCTCATGGGAGTAGGGTCCTTTCTGGTCAGTAGAATTGCTTAAGGATGAAGGCATTTCCAGATCTGTCCTGTGACTTCCAGCAAAGACAGCCACTTCGGCTCAGCCTTCTGTTTACAAATCCATTTTCCAATAAAAATTCTCATTGAACATATTTAAAAACCAGTAGAGACTAAGTTTCCTGGAATAAGAAGAAATGTAAGTCATGAGCAGAGACAATCTCTGTGTTTTCCCTCTTTTGTGTTCGGGTTATCTTCATGATTGTTCTAGGGGCAAAATTACACAAAAAATACTTATTGAGGAACACATGTAGTTTTAACTTTTTAACTTATGTTAAGCTTTTAAAGGCTAGAATAATTTTTATATTTAATTGAGTACATATCTAATATGCCCAAAATATTATTTCAGCATATAAACAGTATAAAATCATTAGTGATATATCCAATTCTTTTTGCATATCAAGTTTTCAAAAGACAATGGGTGTTTAAAACTTCCATCTTAATTCAGACTAGCCACATTTCAGTTGCTCAGTGGCTACAAATAACTGGCCACTGAAAAGCAAACAAGGCCTGGGGGCAAGAATTCTATTTTTTTCCTCTAAAAATGAAAATATACATTTCTTTTTTGTTGGTTTTTTTTGGGGGGGGGATTGTTTGTTTGTTTTGTTTGTTTTGGTTTTTTTTCGAGACAGGGTTTCTCTGTGTAGTTTTGGTTACTGTCCTGGATCTCACACTGTAGACCAGGCTGGCCTCGAACTCACAGAGATCCGCCTGCCTCTGCCTCCTGAGTGCTGGGATTAAAGGTGTGTGCCACCACCACATGGTGAAAATATATATTTCTAAGGTATCAAAAATTATGAGTACTCAGAGAAAATCCAAATGAAACCATTGCACTTGAGCCTATGGGGTTCGGGGAGATAATGGTTGTTTATGCTGCAATTTATTCTTTTAAAGACTAGACAGTCTTATAAAGTGATAACCTAGACAGGTACGTGTACTTTCCTAGTATGCACAAGGTCATGGTTTTGATCCCCAATGCTGAAAGACTAGTAGTAATAAATATTTTTTTAAAAAAATGAAGTATTATAGTATAATTAATTTACCACCAATAATTATAAAATGTCTTCACTGAAATTACTTTCAAAGGTAAACATAAAGGTTCATGACTACAACCCCAAAACTTGGAAGTCTAAGGCAGGAGGATTACCGTAAGTTTAAGGCCAGCCTAGGCCCTGACTCAAAAACAAAAACACTGAAGTAAAGGTCTAGAGAGACAGCAGCAGTTAAGAGTACTTGCTGTACAATCATGAGGACCAGAGTTCAGATCCCATCATCCACATAACAAGCAGGTATTCTGCAAACACCTCTAACTGCAGCTGCGCGTCTTCTGGCCTCCATACACACACAGGTGCACATACAGTAACAAAGACACAAAAAATTAACTGAAGTAAGAGAGAAAATTACTTCCATGTAGCATGAATCTTTAATGGTCTTATTAATAAAAACAAACCCGGGCCCAGGTATTAGGGTGAATTCTGAAAGATCAGAGAAGCAGAACAAGCCACAGCTAACCTCACCTCACCAACTTCTCAGCCAATCCTGTTTCCTCAAACTGGAAGCCTCTGAGTCCTCATCCAAATGGATCTCAGCTGAACTGCTGCTAAAAGCCTAAAAGCTTAAAAAGGCTCTAGTTCCTGGTCCTCATGCCTTATATACCTTTCTACTTCCTGCTATAACTTCCTGGGATTAAATGCTTGTGTCTTTCCCTAGCAAGACATGAGATCTCAAGTCCTGGGACTAAAGGTGTGAGTGCCACCATGCCTGGCTTCTATGTCTATCTTGTAGCTGTTCTGTTCTCTGACCCCAGATAAGTTTATTGGGATGCACAATATATCAACCACATTTCCAACCTAATTTCCTCTCTTATTTTAACAAATAACAATAGTGAGAACCAAGAAAAACAAGTGTCTAATCTAAGATGACCCAACTCATCAGTGACTCGATTGAGACTTGAGCACAAACATTCCATGTCCTCCCACTCCATATATTTCCAAACAGTATCAAAAGGACTAGAAAGTTATTCGAGTGGGTTCTTTAATGTTCCTCAGCAAACATTTGCCCTGCCTCATGCAAGTTATGGAACCTGCCACTACAGATACTTCTAGAGCAGTGGTTCTCAACCTTCCTAATGCAGCGACTCTTTAATACAGATCCTCATGTTGTGATAACCCCCAACCAAAAAATGTTTTTTTTTTATTTTATGTGGCTCCTCCATATTTATTATGTATACAGTGTTCTGCATGCATGTATGCCTACAGGCCAGAAGATGGCGCCAAATCTCATTACAGATGTGAACCACCACGTGGTTGCTGGGAATTGAACTCAGGACTTCTGGAAGGACAATCAGTGCTCTTAACCTCTGAGCCTTCTCTCCAGCACCTAAAATTATTTTCATTGCTACTTCACAACTGTAATTTTCCACTGTTATGAATTGTAATGTAATATCTGATATGCAGGATGGTCTTAGGCAAGCCCTAGGAAAGGGTTATTTGACACCGTTCCCCCCCACACACACCAAAAGAGATCATGACACACAGGTTGAGATCTACTGCTCTAGATGCTCACAGACCAGACTAGTGCTGAAAGGTGGTCCAGCACATCTCCACAGAAGTCATAAGAGGAGCTGGAAAGATGGTCCAACAGTTAAGAGCTCTGGTTACTCT